GGGAGGTGCTCCAGAGACTCCATGAACTTTTCAAGTTGTATCTTGTTAATCGCCTTGCCCAGTTTGTGCTGGGCTTTCCTCGGCGTAGTAGATTCCATTTGTTACGAAGTCTTTTTTTCCCAAGAGAGACGACCCAAAAAATGATAGCAAAAACGATGACCCCAGGGTTACGACGTCTTTTTCTAAAGGTGGGGTTTCTTGATGATTTTCACCGGCGTTCGGCGTGCGGGAGCGAACTGATTTTTTAATTTCCGCCTTCACCCACTCCACAGACCGCGCACAGCACAAAACACAACGCCCCTCTGCACCAGCTCCTCTGCACACAGGCACATCCCGTAAAGCAGACCAGGGATGCTATGAAACTAGATGGCGTGCAGTCTCTCCCGCTGGAGTTCAACTCGTACACCGAGACAGTGATTTCGATGCTGCGGGACAGGAGCTCCGGCCTGACGGACGCCAAGTTGCTAAATAAAGCACCTCCAGAACATGTGCATCGTGTACGCTTGCTTGGCGGTCAAGCGCAACGCCGGGATTGTCTCCACACAGGCCAAGCACGCGGCAGCGGCGCAGGGGTACAAGGACATCGCTGTCCCTGGCTTCTTCAAGTGGCTCCAGGAAAACTTGGACAAAGAGGATTTGCAGCCGTGGCTCACGTTCGAGGTCATGGGGAAGACGTCCATGAAGGGAGGTAACACACAACCAACACGAGAGAGAGGCAGGTTTCGAGTGCGAAGACAACCGTCTTGAGGGGGAGGGACTGGGTGCGAGTGTGTACCTGACCCTCTGCACCTTCGTGATGTGCTGTTGAAAATGACATGCTCTACGTAGGGTGTAGGGTGTATGGTCCGGCCAAAGGTTGTTTTTAGGTTGCAGTCAGGCCACGACGGGCTGCTGCAGCAGCAAGAGGAACCAACATGCCGCTGTAGGATACCTTGTCACCGCCCATCGTTGAGCGGCAATCACAGGATGCAACCCGACACCAGTGTACCAGTCTGTGCGTAGCCTTGCGAGCCTCAGTTGTATGGCAACCGAAGCCCGCCCATTTCCTGGAGCATTACCGTAAATGACACAAGATACCACACCCCCTTGACCGATGTCCAAAGCTCGATTACTCCACGACAAAGAGGATGCACGAACGGAACGGTGCATTTTCGGAAAGCTCTCGATGAGACGTCTTCAACGCCGCCATTGTTGTCACTGTGACTCCTTTTGCTGTTGAGGAATGGGCCTTTGAAAATCGGTCCAGGGCGTGTGGTGTCTTGTGTCATTTGTGGTACTCTTATTGAGAGGCATGGAGAGCAATGTTTGTAGTCTACAGCACGTCATCCAGCAGTAGGTATGTTTCTGATAGATCATTGCACATGTTTGATTTGCTGCTACTGCTGACCATTAACTACTCCTGCTGTTCGACTGCTATTCGACTTGCCTACCCCAAGTTACTGCGACGCAGGCGAGCGACGAAAGCGGGTCGGAGGCGAGCGGTGCGTACACCGAGGTTGATCTGTCGTCCAACGCGATCCGGATGTTCACAGGGGCCGGCCAAATTCAAAGCCGAGCACAGGTGAAGAAGGAGACTGCTGCGGTAGCGGCTGCCAACGCGCAACTGCAGGCCCGCCACGTCCAGGAGACCAACACAGGCAAGCTGGTGACGGCCGTGGAAGCTCTCTCGGCGGCTGTTGTGTCGAGGCAGTCATTGGATGAAGAGGCCGCAGGCAGGGCTCGCTTGGCGGGCGCTCATGAGGCCAAAAGGCGAAAATTGCAGACCTCAAGGGGATGTTGGAGTATGCACCATCCGAACAAAAAAAGATGGAACTGCGAGCCGCAATAATGGCCACGTACGAGCAGCCCGACAGCTACTTCTTGGCCAACCCATCTCGGCGGCGACACCACCCGGCGCAGGAGCTGCACTCCGTACGTTCGCTTCTACTCCGCCTGCTCGGCAACACTCGCATCTACGGCCGGGGTAGGAGGCAGCCCAGCGCCCATGTCGTCCTCGCCCGCGGCGGCTACACCCGTGTCCGCGGCGGGGGTAGCTTCCAGCCTGTCGTCATCGCCCGCTACGGCAACGCCTGCTTCCTCTGCTGCGGTAGTTGCCCCCGTCGTCTTGGGCGCAACACGGTCTGCAACACGGTCCGCCCCCCCGGGGTTCACCGGGGCGCGGAAGAGGGGTGGTGTTAGTGCGAGAACGGCACGTCTCGTTGCTAGCGCAGCTGGACAGTGTGTACGGGCTATGGCAGCCATGCTTGTCATGCCCTCTCCCCCTCTGTCCCAAGTTTTTCTGTAAAGACGTTGTTTGGACCGTCCGGCACGCCTTCTCTTTGGGTGTTTCTTTTCTTGTAGCGGTTGTGTTTCTTTTTGGCGTACGGGCTACGGCAGTAACGCTTGTAATGCCCCCCCCCTCCCCTTTGTTCCCACGTTTTTTGTAAAGACGTCGTTGCACCGTCCGACATGTCTTCTCTTTGGGTATTTTCATTTGTCTTGTAGCGGTTGTTTTTTTTTTTTTTGGTGTACGGGCTATGGCAGTAACGCTTGTAATGCCCCCCCCCCCCCCCCCCCCCCCCCCCCCCCCCCCCCCCCCCCCCCCCCCCCCCCCCCCCCCCCCC